GAGCCATTTATCCCTCCTCCCTTCAATTAACCCCACATGTGTTTATCGGCCAGGCTGACACAATAAACTAACTACCTCAGTATATAAAATACTTATTTAAATCCCTGAAAGCATCAATAAGGATCTCTAGTGGTGCTATTGGGTGGGCACTGGACCGTTAACTGCAAGGTCAGAAGTTCCAACCAATAGGCCTCTCTTTGGGAGAGAGAAGAGAGCAGAGACTGCTCTCATTGAGATTTGAAGCATATTGTATATCTTTGAGTCTGAATCAAATTGATGCTAGTGAGTTTGGTAAAATAAAAATAACAATAAAGCATCAAAGAATTGACAAGATAGCAAGGAACTAGCAGGCCAAAACCGACAGTAAGGCATTTCTGCTTCCAGCCTTGATGAAATAACAGGAACAAAATTTACCTCTGTACTTCCAAAATCTACCCACTTCCAGTCAATTCCAATTCATGGCAACCTTATATAGGATTTCCAAGGCTTTAATTATTTATAGTAACAGATAGCCCTATTTTTCTCCTGATGATTGGCTGGTGGATTTCAACTGTCAACTTTTTGGGCAATCCAAGCTTAGCCAATAGTGCCCAGGCTTTCAGCCTTAAGCAACTAAAATTTGGATGAAATGCATGAAAATAAATGGTTTTCAAACACTGGATAACATATGTAATATCTCTCCCGTTGCCTCAAGAAAATTCTAACTCATAGTGGCCTTATATTGAGTTTCAGAGGCTGTAAATCTTTATGGGAGCAGATAACCTCTTTTTTCTCCCACTGAGTGGCTGGTGGGTTTGAACTGGTGTCTTTGTGGCTAGAAGCCCAACAGTTACCCAATAGGGCCATTATGTGACCCCATCAAGTGCCCCAGCTCACAAGTTGGAGAACATAAGTAAGGTAGAATCTAAACAGAGACGAACTGTTCTGGTGAGTTGAAGAGACAAAATTCTGAGTCTGGGGATGTCAAGATAGTCCTCTTGGGTAAGCACAGGACTGCTAACAGCAAGGTGGGAGGTTCAAACACACTAGCTTCTCTAAGAGAGAAAGATGAGTTTATCTGTTTCTGTAAAGATTTACAGCCTCTGAAACCTTACCTAGGGTTGCTATGAATCAGAATTGATCTAGGGCAGAGTTTCGGTTTGATGCAACTAAAATCCGTGAAGCAGCATATCAGAGAAAAGGTAGCAGCATAAAGAGAGTGCTACAGAAATCTCCAGAGGCCCCCTCAAGTCTTTCATTGACCACTGATCTATGTCTGTTGGGGAGAAAACCACAAAGAGAAAAGAACCAACCGAAAGGACAAGGTGAAACGATTTCCAAAGCACACACAAGGCCAGGAATCGTTTCTGTTCCCATTAGTCAGAGTGAAAACACTTCCTAAAACCTAGGGCATAAAGTAGAATTATATGAGGGGGTACTGATTCAGTAATCCATGAAATGTGGTGGAGCATATAAGGGGCGAAGTTATAAAAAAACCTCTTTAGATATAACCAAACACCTTGAGATCTTAGAGACACCAAAGTCAATTGGCATGACAGTTCACAAAGACAATGCTCTATATCTTACTTTGGTGAGTAGTAGCAACTAGGGTCTTCAAAGCTCATGAGCACTCAGGCATCTAAGAGGCAACTATTGGTCTCTTCCTATCTGGAGGAAAGAGTAATGATGTAAGTCAAAAGAAGTACGGAAACAATGGGCCATGCAATCACCAGTGTCCACAACCCTGAGATCAGAAGAACAGGATGGTACTCAAATACCACTACCAAGTCTTCTGAAAAGTAGTTCACAAGACAACATGCCGGTGCAGAGTAGGGAACCAGTGGAGAGGTCTGGGGGGCTGGTCCCAGCCCCAAATACTAAGTGGATGCCTGCCCCTCCCCCAAGAAGAAGTTATTTCAAAGGATGGCACTGAATCTGCAGCTT